ATTTCGAAGATATGGAGAAGAAACTGCAAAAACACCAACTTTGTGGTCAATGATGTAGTTTTAATATATGGACTTCGAACTTAGTTTTCATGACGTTAATAATAACAAACTCTATACTTTCAACTCTCACGCTTTTCAATTTTTCAAAAAAAAAAATCAAAGTTTATGTTAAATTCAAGAAATCTTTATAAAAGCCAGACTTTTTGTTATTATTTCTCGAATTTAAATTCAAAGTCAAACAAGAGATCACTTTTGCTCGTAATTTAATATCCATTATTTTCTTCTCCTTATTTTATAAAAAGGTTTTCTCCACCTGTTTTAAATTATGTTTCCGACCACAATCGTAAGCAGACATGTGAAATGCATGCGCTTTTGCCCTTTAATATTATATCACATATGTGGTTTATGAATGAGAAGTGAATTGGTACATTTCAGATTGTGTTTATGACGGTATTATAATTACTTTATAAAGACCTTGAACTTAAAATTGAATTATGATGAAGAATGTACAGTTTTTGCATATAACAATATTTTAAATGATTGGTGCTAAAGAAATATATTTTTGATGTATAAATGAAAGCTGTATTCTCGAATATTAATTGTTATAACCAATCTCATATATTATATATATATATATATATATATATATACTCGTATATATATATATATATATATATATATATATATATTGATTTATTTCGAAGTATACGATTTTCTTCATAACATTTCGGTGAAATAATTGCTTGAGGATATTTTCCTCAAGTAATTGTAGACAATGCTTGAGTATGTTAAATTAAATTATACTGATTATATATATATATATATATATATATATATATATATATACATTATCTTATAGTTTTAGCATTCAAAAATATTTAATAAAATTTTGACACATTTTAAACCAAAAAAATCAAATAATAAAAATACTATAAATAATTTAAGTAATTAACTATAAAAAAATAGTTTTTCTGTTAAATAAAAATATACCTAAAATAAATCATTATATCATACTAAAATTGTAATATTCTTATTCGTAGATTTTTCTCTTTGGTTGTAAAATATATTTTATGCAAAATATTTGTTGAAAGATTCATTGATATTGAAGTCTTAATTGAATTAGTCTAAAAAGTAATTGAATTATTTTTGGTATAGTGAAAAGATTATCATACTTTTGTTTTTATTACTATATTAAAATCATTTTTGAATCTAATAATAAATCTAAAATTGATAATTTAAAAAATAGTACACAAATTTACAGATAATTTTCCGGGTTTTTAAAGTTCAACCCAGAAAAGCAAAACAAAACAAATGTAATTTAGATAATGTAAAAAAAAATTATGTTTCAAATAGATCCTATGAGATCAATCAATTTAGTTTTTTTTAAAAATACCTTAAAATAGCAAAATAATTGATATAAATTATAAAAAAACATTTATATTTTTTGTAAATATTCCTTTTATACTTTGTACAAAGTTGAAAGTCTAGACTTAGACTATTGATTTGTAGGATTTACCCTTCTTAATGTCATATATTTGAGTAGTTTTTCACATATAAATTTATTTTACCACTTGCTTTATCGACTCCTTCATCTACATGCGTAGAAAATTTCCATGTAGTAAATTTCCTCAAAACAATTTACTTCCTCGCATTTGCACCCAAAAGGCAAACAAAAATGGATTAGCTCGTGGTAAATGATTTTTTTTATTTCAATTTCATTATGGAAATTCATTTGATTCAACCCTGTTTTTGGATGCCGTCATGAACAGTGATTTTTGGGTAATATAAATGCAAATTTGAGTACCGGAGCCATGTCGTACAAGTAGATCCTACATTTTGATGAACGGTTCATCACACTGCGATTAATTCAGTACATTATTTTGCTTTGTTCGACTGAGGATACAAACAGGAGAGGAAATACGATTTAATGAGCAAGGTGATGTGAATATGAATTTGTTGGAAACGAAGGTGGAATTTATGCCATCTTCGATAGTGGATAAAAGGAAGCTTGCTTTTCTATAGATCCTGAAGAGCTTTTAGATGCATAATTTGGAAATGAAAAGATCTAGTGCTGTATTGGATTCATTTTCAAAAACTAAAAGCACTACGAAGACGTGTCATAGTATTGATTGTCGATGTGCAAGGTAAGGAAACAAAACTCTTAACCTAAACTAAAAACAAAAACCGTAAATAATGCACTAATAAATTCCAAATGAGAAGAGTGATAGAAGAAAGTGATCAATCATCGACTTTATTATTGAGTCAGATCCTGGTTGCAGATAGAATGTCCTCCCTAGAATCAAAAACTGAGTGACAACAAGAAGTAAGACAACGAAGAATCCAGGATTATTAAGGTTCTGTCAAGAGTGAAAATATAGGAATTAGGAACTTTTTGGAGGCTGAGATTTGCAAGTGAACTAATGGACCAGTATAATATCGAATGAACTAGGTGATAAAACAAGACAACCTTATTTCTAAATTGGATCCAAATAGTTCTCCTACTTTAATCAAGAAATGCTAGTACAAAAAGTTTGAAGTTGCATATGATCGATAAATAAGAAAAGAAGTTGCTGGATTTTGGAATTTTTTGCAGTCACAAAATCTAAAAAGTGAGTTATAAATTGTGAAAGAAAAAAACAGGTATTGACCAACTATAAACGAGAAAAAAGTGATGAAACGACCTTTCTATCACGTCTAGTACTGAGTTGGATCAACTTGGTGAAAGAATATCTTCTCTTCAAATCAAAAACTGAGTGACAGCGAAAACTAAGGCAACGAATGGAGGATTATTAAGGACTTGTGTCAAGAGCGAAAATATAGGAATTTGGAACTTTTTGGAGGCTGAGATTTGCAAGTGAACTAATGGGCCAGTATAATATCGAATGAACTAAGTGATAAAACAAGACAACCTTATTTCTAAATTGGATCCAAATAGTTCTCCTACTTTAATCAAGAAATGCTAGTACAAAAAGTTTGAAGTTGCATATGATCGATAAATAAGAAAAAAAGTTGCTGGATTTTGGAATTTTTTGCAGTCACAAAATCTAAAAAGCGAGTTATAAATTGTGAAAGAAAAAAACAGGTATTGACCAACTATAAACGAGAAAAA